TCCCATCCCTTATTATAACCAAAGTCTCGTATACCACATGTTTATTTGTTCTAACTTTTTCCCTTTCATTTATAATTTTTGTTCGATGTCGCTGGGCTTATGTGGATGTTGGTAACCTACAGAAATTGACTGTCGGTGACTTCTGGGTGGGGGACTTTTTAAAATATATGTATTTTTGTTTATTCTATTTTTTTGCTGTCGATAAGGTCCTCACTCCTCAAGAATTACTTCAACTGTACCAAATTAAAGTTGTTTTCGACGTTGATGGTGATCTCGTGGAGTACTTCAAAGGAACTTTGAGGCGTCATCATCGTCTCATGCTTGATCTTAACGAGCCATCAGCTGCATCCCCGGGCTTACTTAAAAATTAATTTCTGTTTTATTTTTTATGTTTAAAATGGGATTTATGTCTTTTTATCTAGGGCAAATTTAAAGTATTATGTTCATGGATGTTATGCTATTGTGTTCCTGGATTTTTGGCTGATCCAGGATTTTTTAAATATAATGCTTCGCAGACATATCTCTCAAGTAGCTTCGGCTCATGTTGATTACTTCACTCCTTCATTTTTTTACACTCGGTCTGTAGGTTATCTGTCTATTTTATGCCTGTACTGTATTCTTATTTTCCATTTCCTCATTTGATTCTGATTTTAAAGAGAGGTAGGCGTGGATCTTTTCCAAAAAAGTTGGATACTTTCATTGGAAGAGAGATGATTTTATGTGCGAGCATCAATTTTATGTTGATTGGAATATCCGTCACAAGTTTGGTGGACTGAGTGTTTCCCAATGCCCTGAAGACACTGAAATTCTCCATAATTTGGTTTATATACCTGTCCCTGCTTTTGAGATTATGGCATTACAAATATCCTGGAAGCCCCTGACAAATTATACTTAAGATTTTGTTATCAGATATATCACAGATCTCTATGTACGATGACAGAATTTCTGATTCATGAAATTATATTTGCCGCTATGTGGTTAATATGTGTTTTGATTTGATTTTAGATTTCCTTGCTTGGTTTTATTTATTGATTTTAAATTGTTGGCACATTATCTTCGCATTTTATTGTACTACTTTCCGAGTGAATGCAATTGATTAATGTGATGCCTTAATCACTTGGTTTTCGGCATCGTGTTCCCTGATATTCTAATCTTTTTTTTTTTATCTGTATTTCAGGCTGATGGCCAGATGCCGAGTGATAAGACCATGGGTGGAGGCGGTGTCGCATTCAACACCTTCGCCAGTGAAACTGGAGCTGGAAAGCATGTACCTCATGCAGTTTCTGTTGATCTTGAGCCAACAGTCATTGATGAAGTTAGGACTGGGACATATCGCCAACTTTGCCCGTTTCTTTCATTTTAGGAGTTTTCCTCTTTAGCAATTGTCACTCCGGGGAATGTCAGATTCTTACATTGGTTTTGTTTTAGTTGGAAAGAGATAGTTGATTTTTGCTTAGATCGCATCAGAAAGCTTGAAGACAACTGCACTAATCTCCAAGGTTTCCTGGTTTTCAACGCTGTGGGTGGAGGCACTGGTTCTGGTCTAGGTGCCCTTCTGCTGGAGCGTCTCTTGGTGGCTATGGCATGAAGTCCAACTTGGTTTCAAAGTCTATCCTTCTCCACAAGTTTTAATCTCTGTTGTTGAGCCTTGTCTTTTCCCTTTGGCTTTCATCATATTGCTGCTTACTCCATTGAAGATTTCTTTGGTGCTGATAGTTTGAGTTAATTTTATTGTTTCTCATTTGTGCTTTCCCTTGTATAAAAAGGGGGGTACCCGTATATGATGATGGTGATCTCTGATCTTTATCAGGTGCATGTTTGCAGCCTTTTACTATTCAAGCATTTGACATACGACCTCCTTATAGTCACAACTTCATGACTCATGAATTATGCGTTTGAGTACAGTTGTATGCGAAACTTCAGATATCTATATTAATTAATCATATATAATCACAACTTTTCTATATTATATTTTCCATTATTACTTACAATTACCATACTCGAGCGTGTTATCAATGAAAATGTTTTCAATTTATGAGTCATGCGTATGTATCATCAAGTTTTATTGTTTGACCTTGCATAACTTTTTTTTCCCCAAAAGAAGTTATCAAAACTATTTTATAATAATAATTTCTATTTTTAATATTTTATTGAAATTTGATAAATTAACAACCGGTAATCTAATAATTGATAATTTCATTTTTTGTCTTTGATAATTTCAAAATTTAAAACTGTAATTTTGATAATTGATAATTGATAATTGATAATTTGATGAATTGATTTCATATTCTATAATCATTAATGGTGATCATTAATTATGAGCGTATAGTCTGTAATTAATAAATTAAAGTTTTTCCATGCTTTGGAAATGTATAATGAAGTTGCTGGCAAAAAAAGAAAAAGAAATGTATAAGGAAGTCATCCTTAATTATAAATTGGCAAATGGCAGATGGCTAATCATTTCCATAATTTAATGTTTGCATTTATGGGTTTTTTTTTCCTATCGTGTTACTATGTTTAAGATAGTGGCTCTTTATTGTTGGGAAAAAAAAAGGATAGTGACTTTTAAAAATGGGCATAGTTTTCCAATGATTTAATGTTCCCAGTATTTCCTCATTATTTGTTACACATCAGACCTGCTTGAGATGTTAAAGCAGTCGTCTTTATAACTTGTCTTCGTTTTCCAAGGATTTCCTTTTTCAAATGTCGTGCGAAGTTATTAGCTAATTGATTTTAGAGATATATATTATAGAATTTTAAAAGAGAGGTCTAACATGCTCACACAATACTTTTTCTTTACATGTATTTTGAGTTCTTCATGAAAGAGTAATTCTAGGGACAACAATTGAAATTGAAAATAAGGTGAATTATTTTCTTTGCTCATCATTACCTGGAGAGGAAGTTAAGTATTTTAGTTCAAATTCAATTTGCATGGGAAATTAGGAGTCAAATTCCTTCAATGAACTTTACACAAATGAGTTTTTAAATATTATTAACTGTTCTAGCATGCCTCCTCACAAGGTCATTCTAAAAGTTGGTGTTCCAATAATGTTTATGAGAAACATTAATCAAGCTTCTTCATTTAATATTTAATATTCATATTCATACTTGAATAAAGTACTACTATCTATCTATTTCAACGGATATTAAACATAGTTTGTTTATGCTAGATTTGTTGTTCAATCAAATTTCTTGAAACTCTTTTCATTAATCATCGTGCAATAAAGGCTTAGAAGAATTGAGGAGTATGTAAACTACATTGTTTTGTAATATGATCATATGTAAAAATTAATTTTCTAACAATCTGTTTCAACTTATATTGATATATTTGTAGTTTTATCAATTTAATTTTTGCATAAATAATCTTTGTTCAAGTTGATGGAGTAGAATTAAAGTGTTTACACACTTTTCCATCATGATTTCCAATGTTGCTAGGTTTGATTGGTGGATAAGTTAAACATTCAAACCTAACATAAGTTCAATTGGTCAGCTCTATTTCCTTTTGTTCTTCTTCTTTGTTTTTTTTTTTTTTTGGGTTTAATGAGAGATCATAAAACTATTTCATTCACAACCGTGCAACACATAAGATTGACGCTAATCAAAGCCACGAGGTTGAAATAGAGTGGCTTGTAAGTCTTGGGTGATGGTACCTTGAGGTTACCACATGATGGGACCTCTCAGATTAAAATACTATCCCTAACTATTGATATAACTGATTTCTTAAATCTTGTTAAAGAAAGACTATCTTTTGCCTATTTAGAGTTGTTTGGGAATTACTTTGATCTTAAGTTCTTCATAAAAAGAGCAATTTTGGCTCCAACAATAGATATATTTAATCAAGTGAATTCTTATCTTCGTTCATGATCACCAAGTGAGGGAGTTAACTACTTTAGTTTATATTTAGTTTGCATGGAAGATCAGGAGTTTGATGGCTTCGGTGAACTTTAGACAACTGAATTTTTAAACATTATCAATTGTTTTGGTATTCTTCATATCAATTGCGTTTTTTTGGTTTCATTGTCATTTAAATCTTCTTTTAAATACCTTTTATAAAAAATATTTTTTTTATAATTTAATAAGCTCTTCACCCCTTTGGCATCATTGCACAATTTTCAATTTGGCAAAAAATATGTGGTTATGTTCATCTTCTTCAACCAAAGATAATGATTTGTTGAAAAAATTTTCAAAATGGTTGTTGAATGTCAGTGATAAAAAATCAGGCCAAGTAGTTGATGGAGCAGCCGATATTAAAATTCCAAGGCATTTGTTGATGGATACAAAAATGTTATGGAAGGAATTGTAATGTCTACTTATCCTAATATATTGGATAATATATCTAGCACTGAGTACTTTAATAATAGGGCAATTCTAGGGCCAATAATTGAAAGCATTATTCAAGTAAATAATTATATGTGCTCTTTATTGACTAGTGATCTGTTGAGTATTTAAGTTGCAACTCTGTATGCAAGTCAACTGGTGCATCATTTGGTTCCCTGTTACTCTTTTGCCATGACCATAAATAACAATCAAGGTCAATTATTAAAATATATCAGGTTATATTTATTGAAACCAGTCTTTACATATGACCAATTATATATTGTTTTATCATGAGTGAGAACAATTGGTGGATTGAAGATATTCTTGCCTGACAATGAAGGGAAAGAAATAGTTACTATTATTACCAATGTTTATAGAGAGTTGTTTAGAAATTTACTTCATAATCAAGACAACCCGTGTTGTACTCTTAATTTCATCATAGAAGATGTCCAATGACTATTTAGTTACTGAATTTGTATGATGAAATTTGTCATTCGTAGAAAAGTATGGTAAATATATTTAAATTGGACACACAGTGAGTTTGAAGCATAGTTTGAGAAGTGTATTGTGTTATATGACAGCACTGAATGTGGAATTATGATCAATTTTAATAACCTTTAATGAATGACCTCAACATGCATCACATGGGTAGTAAAATCTAGCTACCGAAGTACCTAACTAAGTGATAGGGCAAGAGATTTTTTTTATTTCCGGGATCGAACATGTTACAAATTCAGGGCAAGGGACTTTTTTTAAGGGGGGGTTTTGGTTACATATACGTTCTTATTTTATTTTCCTTACATTTTATTTATACAATTATACTCGTGTCCATAAATCCTACATCTATTACATATAGGAAGAAAAGAGAAGATCCTCACTGCCAACATTCACAAGCAACATGCTTTTAATATATCTTCAATGTCTGGGTCATCCCCTGCCTCTTTGTCCTGCTTGCCGTGCATTTTCATACAATTAGAGAATGATATCAGAAAAATGTGAACATGCTTATTAAATAATATGAAACAGACCAAGAATACTCTGTTTGATTGAGGAGGATGAGCTGCAGCTGAGCTATCAAGAAAATTCCAATAAATAAAAGATGGATCAAATTAGAGGGTTACACGTGCCTTGTGAATGTATGAGATGTTACTCTTGCCAGGACCTGCAACTATGATTCCTCCCTGTTTCCTGTCAATGGCCAAAGTTCATAATACAAGTATACATTAAAAAAAGACAGGAGACTTTGAGCAACCACAAAAAGAAGAAAAGAGCCATGCTAATGACTTGCGAGGATGGAAAAAGTATAAGAATTCATGACATTAACTAAATGCCATTATCTCGTGATGAAAGTATTGAAGAGAAATCCGTATTTAAAGCAGCAGGTTTTCCCATGCTCTTTGAGAACAATAATCAAATTTCAGATGTTTCGGTTCTTGTTATATGAGGAAGCTGTTACTGAATAACTGTCACTCATATTTTATCCAAGCATGACACCAATGGCCAAAGTAATCTTTTAGGATGCAGTAAAGTTTCTGTTGGTCATCATTGTAAATATTAGGATGAACATTTAAGCCAACTGAGATAATATTTCTTTTCTGCACAGGAGTCCATGAAAACATTCCAAATTTGTGCAGTTAAACGCTTCTTCTACATGGAAGCTGGCTTAGGAGTGGGCTAAGGCCATAACCTGGAATGACATTCTCTCATCCTAAATCATAGTAAATACAAAGCATCAGTGGGCGGGAGATCCCCCTAACCCCCCCTACTGTACCATGCATGTAACACTATTTGCAGGAGAATCTACGTACCAGCCTCCTCTGGTAACAGTATCCTTTTCAAAAGAGAGCTTCCAATCTTGCCGGTAACCTTCCATGTATAACTGTATCAATTTAAGGCCTGACTGCAGTATTAAACCAGAAATTAACATCGGATGTCTATTGTCCGGCTAAAGAATCTCAATTTATTTCAGCCTTTGATAAGCTATCTATCTATGCACTTCTCTTATTAAAAAAATTTTGCATCTCTTACAGTGGGAGTAAATGTAGTTAAAGCTCCAGAAACAAATTCCAAGGCCTCGTAGGATGCATGAGCGGGGTCTGCATAAATTTCTAAAACAGAAAACAAGGTACTGTCATCATGCTGCGATAAGATGACAAAAATTTCCAGGATTCTCATAGAGGTAGAAGCAATGTACCTCCTTGAAATTTTGTTTGCTCAGCGAAGGCTTTAGCCTGTATAGTATATATGTATCGTCAAACAAAGTCTATCACACTGGGAGGACATCAGAGGGCAGAAATTTAATTGATGGAAGCATTGGACTAGAATTGTCTTGAGCAAAACAAACAACATTTCCAGGGGGGGTACAGTTCAAGAACAGAAGCAAATTCTTGTGCTCTTTCCATCCAGAAATTATATCATAGGAACAAACCTAACACACCTAAGGTGGAGGTATGGACGCATTTACTATCCACCATGCAACATACCTGGTCAATGCTTCCAGGTCCAATTAGTACAAGTGCCACCCCAGATGCGTCCATTATATCCTATTGACATAAAAGTTCTATGGTGTCAAAGGCAGGGCTAAGTAAAATGAAGATATTCCCATTTTCTGCATAATAACTTAACCATGTTGCAGAAATAATGAAATGGAATCCTCCCATCACAACTTTTCTTTCAAGCTGTATAATCGAAACTTAGTGCTCATACTTTAACCTTCCACATCCCGAAAAGGATAATGCAGCATATTGTCTTCATTTTAATTAAATCAAAATCTTTAATTCCAGTTAATATTTGAAAGAGTAAATTAGTGATACAGTTCACAGAAGATTCCCCCCCCCCCTCAAAATGGTCCACCAAAGACAACAGTGGATGTGAAACTTGATTACCCAAGTCTCTCTCAACCCATTATTGGAATTAGAATTAAGATGATTTCGTTTCCCTGTCAATAATTGGGTTACCAAGAACTAGATTTAAACATAGTCATGAACGAAGAAGGCAGAACCGCCATAAAAACTGGTGATTCAACACCTGGGTTTCGGATGGAGAAAGAAAGAAAATGATAGAAGAATATGGTGTGGGAGGAATGAGAGAACAAAAATATCACTCCGGAATAAGTTTTTGACCTAAAAATGATAAGAATCCTTCTTCCAGAGCAGTACAGTTAAATTACATTAAAAAAAAAAAAACAGAAGGAAGCTATGGAATTATTCATCACGTGACAAGGGGCAAAACCTGTGTCCCGGCCAGCAACTACTAGTCCCGTTTGGACTAACATTTTGAACTAGATAACTTGTCGGTGTACAGTCTAAACACAAGAACCAAAATTACCTTCTCAAGAACTATGTGCCAAAGACAATACACGAATAAAATGAATCTTCTCGATTGTACATGATAAAGTTGAAGGAACATACTAAAATTAACCTCATCTAATTACCGAAGAAGGGGAGTTAAAAGAAACATGCGCGATCATTCAACATTTAGTAAAATATATGGTTCACGTATGTTTAAGCATAATTGCAAACGTAACCTTCTTGGAGGCAAGATAATCAGCCCTTTTGCGGCAAAACACGCACCTGAGGCATAGTGATAACTGTTAAACTAGCTCATAAACAAGAGATATCCCTCAGCTTCTAAGAAATAACAATAACTTAAAATGTGGATCGGGAAAAAACAAATTCACCCAAAATGGCGAGCAAATGCTACAACAGCTTTCCGATCCTTCCACAAGTCAGAAAGTGGAATTCCATTTCCCTTCAAATCAAAGACTTTCACTGTATCCAGAGAACTCCCTGTTTCTTCACTTGACCGAACCCCTGGTCGACATTATATAATGGATCACGTTTCAATTTAGCCCCATTCAAAATCTCTGGTATGAAGCCAATAGCTAGGAAGGAACACACAACATATAAAGAAGCACAATAGGACTAATTAGCTTTATTTGATAATCAAGGAGAATTATTGATATAAGCTTACCTGATGAGCTGGACACTGCGGAGGCTATAGTAACATGGTATTTACTTGGTGAGAGTTTAAGCACATGGTTACGATATTCAAGAGCATGAGAAAGGTTAAGACTATTATTTGATGATAGGCTGGAGGGATTTAATATTAAACTTTGCTTCGTAATTCTCTTGGGCAGTATAGAATTTGACAAAGGCGTGGTGGAGAGAGAAGTTGCCATGGACGCTCGGTTTGTGGGACAGGAATGAAACCAGCAGAACGAGGACGTTCGGGCTTTCTCCCTCAAATTAATCTAATCCCTGATAAATTATTAATAAATAAATATTCGTGGACGCAAAATGTCTGTGTGCCCAAGTTATACGTGGCTGATTTTCTGACATTAAAATTAAAAATCAATAAAAAAAAAACAAGTAATCAGGTAATTGTCATTAGTCGGCCAAAACAAATTAATCAATTAATACGGTTGATAATTAATGATAACAAAGTCTATGTTTATACTTAAAAAAAAAAAACAGTTCTTGCAGATTACATGAAATGTTACAGAAAATTAAATTTTAAAAATATAATAAAAAATAAACTTATTTAATATATAATTAATATGTGTGTGGTTGAAAATTGAAATGCAAAACAATGTTCCCTTCATTGCGCTTGCAAAATTAGAAAAACCAGTTATCGTTATTTTGAAGCCACCGTCAAGATCCATTCACACCTTCGTAAGAACAAGCCGTGTGATGAGAAAAGAGAAGCGTTGCAGCTATATGAGCAAAATGTCACATTTGTGACAAAAAGCTTCCAAATCCAAAGTGCGGTGATATGACTCTTCTCCCAGCTGTCTCAACTTTTGAAACTCAAATAAACAAGGAAGAATTATTCTAATGTTATACCCAATACATTTAATTACTCGTTGATAATTAAGTTTAAGACAATGATTGTTTTCATTCTCGTTGTCAATAAATTTAAAAGTAATTATATTAAATGAAACTTATATATAATTCTCTGGTTTTTTCAGTAAATAATGCAGAACAAGTTTATCCTATTTATTGTACAGAGCCTTTAAATAAAAATTCAAGCAGAACTGTCACTTACAAGTTACAATTCTGCATTTGCCTAGGGTTATTGTATCATTACGATACGAGTGAAATAAACAATACTCCTCCCATATTTAACATAGAGGACTTCTTTAGAAAGTGTTTTAATCCCTTTAATCAGTCACCTTGTATATTTGTTGAAATATAATTTTTTCCGTGTTTTACCCTGTATCGACGAAAACTACGATGTAAGAGCAGTAAAAAGAAAGGAAAAGTTAATAAGATATGAGATTTAATATAATTTATAAGGACAATAGTTAAAAGTATTGAAATTTTTTGACAATTTAACACTTTAACTAACTTGTAATCACTTATTAATACATATAAATTAATTGAAAGTGACTCATAGTCCCATACTAAGCTTTATCACAAATTCTTACTCTGATTGATGCTGGAAAAATTTTGTATATTTGCTTACTGTATATAGATATACCATATATGTATAATAATACTATAATATTATAGAAGTGCATTTATTTTTGCCACATATAGTGGCACTACATTAATATTGATGATACTGATTATAATCAGGTCAGCTTATACTAGATCATATTAAAAAAGAAGCCTCCAATTTAAATTCAGTCTTTTTTTTTTTTTGGGTGAAAATTGTGCTGGCCTCCTGGCATTGTTTTTTGGGCAATTATAACAAGCTTAAAGAGTCAGTCAGATCGCAGGACTCAGCTTGATCTTCTTCTCCCAATTCGATTGCTGCAGCCTGAGTTTTTCTCGCGCTCCGGTAATTTCAATGGCGGCCATAATCCGCCTGGTAACGCCCAAATCCGCCTTCACGTCCTTGGCGAGGAGATGCTTATCTGCATCTGCCGCATCCGGTGCCAATTCTCACACACCTCCGTACAACATCTCTTCCGTCATTCCGAAACCTCAGCTTTCACGTAAAGGTCAGGAGGATGGGGATGTTCAGTGGGTCTTCTTGGGCTGCCCTGGCGTCGGCAAAGGTACCTACGCTAGCCGCCTATCTACTCTGATCGGTGTCCCGCACATCGCCACCGGTGATCTCGTTCGCGAAGAGCTCGCATCCTCTGGCCCCCTTTCTGCCCAGGTTTCATCCCCCGGTCTATTTTCAGCTTATATTTGAGGCAAAATTTAATTTGAATTTATCTCGATTGCTCTGCAAAATGAGAGCACTGCTGTATTGTTGTTAAATATGCCCGGAACTATTAATCTGTTAGTAACAATAGCTCTGTTAAATTCTAACGCAAGACACATCTTCATTCGTGCAAATTCAATTAGCCGTTTATGGCAATTTTGTTAGATAATTCATTAAAGCTGTCCTTTTTTTTTCTCCCTTCAGTTACATAAAGCTGTCCTTTTCCTTTGGTCTATTTCCGTCAAAATTTAGTTCCTGCGAACTGCTAAACCTAAATAGCAGAATTTTAGTCTTTGGTATTATTTTCTATAACATTCTATGAAGTATAACCCGGTGGCGAGCTGTATGAGTTTAAATAATAATTTTTTGCCTAAAAATAGTGTCTCAATACCTTCTCTCATTCTTTATAGAATTATATCAACTTAGGTAGTCTTTTGTCATTTTGCAAACTAACTTTTGGGCTCGGGTGCCCTGCCCCCTCATCATACAATTGTTACAAAAAGTGGCCCGATTCCGTTCTATATGCACGCACAGAATCCTAGGCCCAAGGGTGTCCAATATGGTCATGTAGGAAATCTCGACATTCCTAATTTTTCTACCTTTTGGAGCCTCTGATGGACTTTGGAGATGTCATATAGGTGGTATGTCCTTTATATGTATAAGCGCTTAAAGTGTTTGATGTCCCATTTTCTCTGGCTTTGAATGAAAACAAGTTCATTTCACCAGACCTAATTGCTGGACAATTTGCAGTTAATGGCTTTACTTTGGTTTTCCATTAATTGCCCAGTAGTTGAGGATTCGTCGGTCCTATTGATTCCATAGTTAACTCATTCACTGGATTATAAGGAAGGCCTGCCAGCCTCCCAGCATAAGGTTTGTAGTATATGTTAAGGGATAGAAGGTTAAATTTATCACTGGATTGATTAAATTGATTTAGTGAAATCTTGATTCCTTTTCATTGCTATTTTCTGTTTGTATGACTAAAGATATAACCGTATAGGTCATTGTAAGGTCTAGTATTGTTGTTTCAATTGTTTGATCTTTTAGTCACTTTTTTTTCCTCCTGTTTAATCCTCTTAGTGTATGGTTCTGATGTTCCAATATATCAACTAATGTTTTGCAACTCTTTCTCTTGACTGGAATCAAGCATTTAGCATGTAAGTGTGATGGCTAGAAGTAATTTTATGAAGAATGCTATCTTAATTTTATTTCTGTCCTTTACAGCTGTCAGAAATTGTAAATCAAGGTGAATTGGTCTCAGATGAAATTATAATCAGTTTATTATCGAAGAGACTGGCTGAAGGGAAAGCCAAAGGTGAATCAGGATTTATTCTTGATGGTTTTCCTCGAACAATTAGGCAAGCAGTGAGTATCTTCACTTTGGTAAAGTGACAATAATTTAATTTCGTTACAGGTACTTTCCCCTTATTTTCCTGTAAATCTTTTGCATGACCACAGGTGAATCTATAGTTGCTTAATAGTCAGTCCTGATAGTCAAAATGTAATTTTCTTTGAAGAATAATGCAATTGCAGAAGTTATGGTTTCCATCTAACCAACTGATACTTTAGCATTTTTTTGAAAATTTTTTCCAATCCTCGAAATAAGGGTACTGAGGTTATTTTCTTCTAGTTTCCTGTTTATCTCATCCTGTGATGTCTTTAGAGATTAAGTGAACGAAACCTGAAATTTATTGCCTATTCATCCCTTCCCCTCTATGTACTGGAGTTGTTATGTCTTTGTATAGTTCATTGTTCATTGCAGCTGTTTCGATGGATGTCATTAAAATCTCGATTATCTTTTAATGTGCGTAGGAAATATTGGAAGGGGTAACTGACATTGACTTGGTAATCAATCTGAAGCTTCGAGAAGATGTACTTCTTGAGAAATGCCTTGGCAGAAGAATCTGCAGCCAGTGTGGTGGAAATTTTAACGTGGCCTCCATTGACATCAAGGGTGACAACGGGAGTCCAGGAATTATCATGGCTCCGCTTCTTCCCCTGCCCAGTGTATGTCAAAGCTTATTACTCGTTCAGATGATACTGAAGCAGTAGTCAAAGAAAGGCTTCGTATATACAATGAAAAGGTATCTCTCAATCATTTGTTCTTAAATGTTTCTCTTAGTGGACTTTCTGGTAAGGTAAAAAATTGTCTTTTTATGTGTTATCTACTTGTCTTTTTTTATAGACTTGTGATAGGTTTGCTGTCCCGCATATAAAGTTTATGATTCTCATTCACTGTTGCTTCCAAATCCATGTTTTGTGTGTGTGTGAGAGAGAGAGAGAGAGAGAGAGAGAGAGAGATTGTTTGATGATTTGTTTTCTATTTTAATTGTAGAGTCAACCTGTGGAGGAGTTCTACCGCAGTCGAGGCAAGCTATTGGAGTTTGACCTACCAGGAGGGATCCCAGAATCTTGGCCAAAGTTGCTGCAAGCGCTTAATCTTGATGATTATGAGGACAAGCGATCTGCTGCAGCATAGTATATGATGATATGTACAATGAAAGTGAGTATTTTATTCTTTGCATGCTTATGTTGCATGCTTGGCGATTTTGCAGGAAAGAAAACAGAAGGGGACTTCTCTCTTAATATTTACAAGTTACAACGATTATAGTGATATGAGTAAGTGTTGTAATATTGTAATCTGGTCAAGCTTAGCCTTGCTAGGCTTTTCATCATCATCATTGAATATTTCATTACACATGACAGGATCTCTGCCAGGCTTCATAGATGAATGTTTTAGTATAGGTATCAATAATGAGCGATGCATCACTACTGTATGTTGTACGATATACCGTAATATGAATGACCTAATCTTATTGCCCGATCGATTGCTTAAGAGAACTGGGGGAGGCTCTTCCTAGAGTAACCTCTCAAGAAAACCTATACGAGGATCTCTCGTTATTGGATTAAGCCTGTTGACTCAGCAATGCTCATCAACGACTCCTTTTCTTTGACCATGGAATATGGATCTTGCTTTGAAAATTCATCCATTTGTTAGTTCAGGAAGTAAGTACAATCTCCGAGAATTGGTTATTTCGTCGTTGGCAGCTTGGATCTCACACGTTTTATGTTTTTCTGTTATTTTATATGAGGCATTGGAGAATATGCCGACTTGAATTAAAAATTAAAACAATAAATGCTAAAACCTATTTGAGCTTAGGAATAGGTTTCTGGCTATGAAAAAAAAAAAAAATTACTTGACGCACTATGTGGTTAGAGAGTTTTGGTGAGAAAAGGAGGAGGGTTGTTCCCCTCTCTTTGTTTGGGTGAGAAAATCCCCCCCAAATTTAAGGGTTTTAGAGGGATGGCTGTATTTTAATTCTAAACAAAACCAAAATCCCTCCTCTTTCTTGTGTAACAGACCATGAGTGTTAAATTTATATGATAATAGTGAAAGCTACACAAATTATAAGCTAGCCATTGATGATTCGGTTGGCCCAAAAGACGAAAGCAAACTTTGATTGTGAATGAAAGGGAACCTCTGTTCCACTTCCACCATTTTATTTCATTTATTGGTGTATGTATATCAATTAATAAAACATACAAAATCAAGCTAGATGTATATAAGCAATGATGAGTTCAAGTTTTTGTTTTAAATAGGTATAATTTAGTTTATAAAAAATGTAAAAATTACTGGTAGCTTCCCATATTTGAATAAAATTTCAGTTATGATCCCCTCACAATTAGATAAACTTTTAATTATGCCCCGTGATGAATTCTGGATTTGTTCTTGAATATAAGAACTTGCTAGATTAATTATTTCTATATACATGGGTGTGCACTAAAATCTCAATAGCTTCTTTTGGGATAGATATTTGTTTAAGAAAAAAACTTATATGGTCAACCTTATATATTTAAAGTGTTTGTTTCTAATTGAATTAATATATGTATATTTTTTATAGATTATTTATTTCAAACAAATTCTTATTATTAATATTATTAATGCATTAAAATTTACTTGTTTTGATTTAATTAGATACAAGTACATTAAATATATAATACTAAATAATTAAGTCTTGCTTTTTGTTTAAAATCATGGCACGCTAAGCTATTATTCTTTTTCGTGCTAAAAATATAACTCAACCTGGCATGCCCAAAATTGGCAAGTTAATGCGAGCTAGACCAGTTTGCACTTCGAAGCATGTCCCCTAGAGTTCGAACTGCTTCAAAATTTAAGAACGAGTTAGAACTTGGAACAATATCCTCATGTAAATTGTCAACTTGCTGAGTCAATTTAGTTGACTCATGAGTTTGACAACCTTACTGATAATCTCTATATTTATGTGCGTGGGTTTGGGTAACGTGGCAACTTGTTAGATATGCTGCTTGCTATTGCCGGAGTAAAAGCCACTGCACTTGGGCTGAACTTATGCTGGGACAAAGGATTCAGTCAACAATATAGCTATCTCAAGAAATTGGATTGTCTATGGTAGATTAGTCAGGTCAGCACGTAATTTTTTTTAGATTTTTTTTTTTGTGCTTTTAAACAATCCCTACCTAATGTTTATGAAGGTGGGAAATGATGAAAGGCTTAATAATGTATATTGATACTTTATTCTCTTTGCTCTCTTGAATAATACTTATGGTTTTTATTTGAAAAAATCGGCTGGTTAAAATAATGAAAAATAAGATGTCATTTAAATAATTAGTATTAAAATGGACAAATAAATAATTTACTCTCTCCATTTAAAAATGTGAATCATCTTTTGAGGAGTTAGATGTTAAAAAATGTAAGATATTTTTAGTCTTTCGAGATGTAATCATTATTTTTTTAAAAAAAATACCCTTATTAATAATAATTTTATATTTATTGTAGGATATTTAAAAAGGATAGATATGGAAAGATAGGGTTGGTTAAAAAGTAGGTAACTACTTTATTGAAGGTAAAATTCGATTAAAAATTCTTAAATTTTTAAATGGAGGGAATATAAAATAATTTTGAATAAAAAGGCAAAGAAAAGCTTTATCATAAAAAAATAGAATTGACACACTTTTTATTTTATTTAATCTTTTCCGATTTCCTAGCCAAAAAAAAAACTTCACTTCTAATTAATAATTCTAAATCTATAAATACAATTACGTAATTGCTTCCTCAATATATAATATACGCTTGGATACCAAATATAATCAATTTTAAAGACTAAAGTTACAATTTTGTGCAAATATATTTAAACATCCCTATCGCATGTCAAGGCCAATATAAACTTAAGACAATGTTTTTTCCCTCAATATTCAAACATCTTTGAGACATGTCGAAATTAATTACATACACAATATCATGATTTTTTTAAAAATATTTCAAAAACTTGTAACACTTTCTCTTATTGTGAAGGAAGCGTTTGCCTTGATAATAACTTGTTTTGTAGGCCAAACAATGATAATAACTCATGTTACCCTTAAAAACAAAAATAAAATTTAAAAAAAAAACTTACATACTTATTCTTATATATTTAAAATGTTTGTTTTTAATTAAATCAACACATGTATATTTTTTATAGATTATTTATTTTATAACAAATTCTTGATATAAATATTATTATTATATTAAAAATTTTATTTTAATTTAATTAAATAAAATATATTAAGTATATAAGATTAATAAAATAAGTCTTGCCCTATTGACCAAAAATGTGTGTGTGTGTGTGTGTGGGGGGGGGGGGAGAGCAGGCCACGACGTGTTCCGCTACGTATCTTTTAAAATCCCATGTTCTGCCTCGAGCACTCCGATTAAGATTTCGTCCACGTCAGCGAGCTCCATCACAAAAAATATGACAACCTGGAAAGATCTATTCCTACGTGGCACAGCTCCGGCATTCCACACCTCCAGTTCGTCCACGTCAGCAATCTGGTTCGCCCTCCCATATCTTCTTCCTAGCAAACGTCGATGTTATCTGATTTCTTACCGCGGTCTCTCTTGGGTCTCATATTGGTCAAGCAAGCCGAAGTGAAAATTTTGTTTTATTGTTTTTTTATTTCCAAATTTGGTCCAGTAATTAAGATTTCCAGATCAAAGGAACTATTATCATGCAATTCTCCTGTTCCATGATCACTTTCCTCTCTGATGGATCTAATTAATGGCGATTAGGGAATGATCAGATGTATTAATCATTGTCTTCAATTCTTGTATTTCCCTTTGATTTTATGCTCTTTATAATGGAATATATTTGCTTCCATTTTTTTCATTTTTATATTCTTCAGTGTAAAGAACGCTGGAAAAAGAAATTGATGCATATAATTGTTCTCTTTTGGATATTCATGGTCAAACATTCATTATTTGTATGTTTACAACTGTGTTTTTTCCTTTGATACATTGTTGTGTTTGATTTTTAGTGGATTTGGGGTAACTGTCTATGGGATGACGCCAGTTGTCAACCTTCGGCTTTCTTCAGACTGCTTAGGGTTTTGAAAATGTTTATTATTGTTTTTTTATTATTATTTTTTTCAATGTTTCCAAAAATCATGGAGCTGGAAATTATTTTTCTTTAGAAAATTTGGTTTATCTTTTCGCAAGATCTATGTTTTCTTAATTTCTTTAAACCACCCCCTTGTTTGCTTAGGAGAGAGTGATAATGTTGTTGGATTTTTTTTGCTGCTTTTTTTAACTAAAGATAATTTCAAATGAAGAATATAAGAAAGGAATCTCTAATTTGCATGAAATGTGCTCAAAGCTGTGTAATTTGTCTGACAATGTGGGTATTTGATTGGTTTAAAGAGTTTCTTAGAGCATGGTGGGTATTTGATTCGCTTCGGTGTGAAAAAATCCAACCACAGATGCGCTAGTTATACTTGTCTTGATCTATTTATTATTTCACTGCATATTCAATTACTTATACTTGCATTGAGCTGGGGATCTTAATGATGATTTCGTTCACTTTTTCCTGTGATGAGGAAGGATTGTTACATTGTATGAAGCTCCTTAATACTGGCGTTTCCTAATCCAAATGATGAGGGGTGCACTGATGAGTGTTAATGGTGAAGATAAAGAATTACAAGAATTGGCGCAGCGTCTACAAGTTGGGAAGAAAATCCTTATAGATGGAGCTACCGGTGAGGAACATGGATTACATGAGAAAGATGCGTTGAAGGTTAATGGAATAGTTGAAGTAGTTAAGGCTGGACAAGGGGTGACAGTGAAAGGCCCTGTTGTCCAGCCTATAGCAAAGCAACAGACTCGAGGGGCAATTGTTTGTTGGGAGAGGTTTTTACATCTTGGATCCCTCAAGGTCTTGCTTGTGGAGAATGATAACTCTACTCGCCATGTTGTTACCGCACTACTTTGCAATTGTTGTTATGAAGGTTGGTAACTATATAACTTGCTGGATGCTTTACTTATTTGGTTAGGCAGGAACTCTGATTTAACGCCATTTGTGTTTAAACTTTTATTTGAAGTTACTTTTATTCCTTCTTGTTTCAGAATAGCCATGCCATTATTTATCGATAGTCTTTGCAATTAGATTTACGGTAGATGCCTTGCTAATGATTCATGTCTTATATCAAACTTTGTCCACTTTTGGGCATAAAATGCTTTTCTTTCCCAAAATTTATATTTTGCCTTTTATCAGAGTTTAAACAATCTATAGATATTAAAGATCAATTACTTTTCACTGCGATTGACCAATCATAATATACATATAATCTAAATTTCATATTTTTCAGTTATTGAAGCAGCAAATGGATTGCAAGCATGGAAGATGTTGGAGGATATAACTAATCATATTGATCTCATTTTAACTGAGGTGGCAATGCCTTGCTTATCAGGAATTGGTCTTCTATCCAAAATTATGGGTCACCAAACACGGAAGAACATTCCAGTGATTAGTGAGTTTTTCTGAGCGCCCATGTTGTTTTACAATAATTAATGTTAATATTTCTCATTACATTCTGTAAATAAGCTGCTCTTTTCTATGGTTTCTAATGAAACTGGTTTGCAGTGATGTCATCTCATGACTCTATGGGTTTAGTCTTTAAGTGCTTGTCAAAGGGTGCTGTTGACTTTCTTGTAAAACCCTTACGGAAGAATGAGCTTAAAAACCTTTGGCAGCATGTTTGGAGGCGATGCCATAGTGTGAGTTGACTTGATTTTTCCTTATCAATGTCACGATATCTATCCTATTTGTGGACTAGTGATGATCTACCAATCCATATATTGTTATGGATGGTACTTTAGAAAGAAAACTGCCATATCCATCCAATTTATTAAAAGATCGGATAGAATATATTGTTAAATTAAAAACCTACAACTTCCATAATTGCTCTTGATTATTCCTTTAATTTTTTCGTCAGTCTAGTGGAAGTGGGAGTGAAAGTAGCACACAAACCCAGAAGTCCATAAAATCAAAGAGTCTTGGGAAGTCGGGTAACTACACTGACAGCAATGATGAGGACAACAACAGAAGTGACGATCTGAATAGTAGGAATGGAACTGACAATGGTAGCGGAACTCAGGTATAACAGTTTCCTGTATGTTGATTTTCCTGATTCTTTTTTGGTTTATACTTATTGATGTATAACTCGTATATCTTCACTGGGCCTTAAACACTTCAAGTTGGTGCTCATAGATGTCTTTCATTTTTGTCCATTGTATAGATTGATTGCTATAGCTTTGAGGGCTTTAAAATAATCTTAATATTTCAATTTTTTTAAATTTTTTTGGGATAGGCATTAAAATATGGTGGATGATTGGATCCCATGTCTCGGATGCCATTTCCCTTCCACCTTACTTTTGGCTTATGGCTGGATCCTGAAACTGATGCTTCTGACAAAGTTGTAATCTCTTGAATTTGGTTGAGCGCTTGAGTGTCAACCACTTAATGTGCTTAATTCTTTTCCTTATTTTGTTGACCTTCTTTTTCTGAAGCATATGTTTGGCATAAACAAGGAACAAACTGAGCGAAGCTTAAGTCTGTTACAGTATTCCCATAAAACTCAGATCCTTGCTATCACCTGTTTTGCCTTACTGTCCTACTCCATAGGAAGATAATGTTAGGAAATCCAGCAAGAGGAGGATGCCAATAGAAGGCAATCTCTTGTTTTTCTTGTGCAAATTCATACAACATGGTAGCGTACAAAAGATCATGCACCAGTTTTTTTTTTTTTTTTTAAAGCAAAAGTGACTTGTAAGTTTCTTTATTTTCTCCCTTGGCAGACCTCCTGGACCAAACAAGCTGTTGAAGTTGACAGTTCCAAACAAGTGCCCCAGTGGGATCAAATAGTAGACTATCCTGATAGCACCTGTGCCCAATTCGTTCGCTCTAATGCTCAAACATGTGATGACAAGATTGTTCCTTTGGCCACAAAGTGTTGTCTCAAACATAAGCAACAAGTTGGTAAGGTTGAAAGTGCTTGGGTACACACATTACTTCCCCCTCTTCCTTTTTATAAGATATATTTAACTATTTTATACATACCAGGAAATTAGTTAATCCTCTCTCTCTCGATCCCTCTCCCTCCTTCATAAATTTATTGATTAATCCCTTTCTCTCCGCACATTTATTTTTGGGAAATTTTTGGGAAAAATATTAATTACTCCCTAAACTTTGCAAAATGTCTTATAAATAGGAAATTATAACCTTCTAAATGACACCTTATAAAAAGGAATGGAGAGAATACTGTATTATCTTTCTCTCTTTCTCATACACATACCATCCAATTTTATAGGAGTCAAATGTTATTGGTAAATATCATATGCTGTTTGGAGCTTGTCAAAACAGTTACTCTATTAACATCTATAAGTTTACAAGTGCTGGTGTCACATTAACAAGGCTTTTTCTTTTTTTGGTTGAATCAGAATGCATGAATGATGAATAAAAATTATGATTGCATTTTCTTTGGAATAACTTATGCTTGTTTTCATTATTGTGATATACTTTTGGATAATTCCTGAGGAACTTCATTTAGGTTGCATCTGATTAAACTACTTTTGTACAAGTTGTTGGATTTGTATTGAATTTTAGTTGTGCTGTAGTTTTGTTTATTGTGTCAAGGCATAATAAAACATTATAATAGAAACGTTCCTATAGTTATACTTGATTCCTGATTTAAGAATTTGTTTAGTTAATGTTTGGATCAAAACTTGCACCTGTACTTGAGCAATTTCATTGAATTAAATCATGAGAAATTTAAATTAATTAAATATACTTGTAAAGGAAGAATTTTAATTTCGAAGTTTAACATGTTGAGGCTCATAAGTAGTATTATCTCCATCACACTTGTTCTCACTAAAGCCCATAGCTCTTGAAGTGTGGACAAAGCAGAGTTCCACCTGCCTTGTGTTAAATTTCATTTGATTATGGAGAATGTGATGCGGCACAGATCAAGTTCCTTACCATTTCATCTTAAAGGCTCTAATATTATGTTAAGGACTAGTTTAACTATAAGGCTTTAAGCTATTAAGTGATTGTTCATAAATAAAATTTTATTATAATCGCCAACCACTTTGGAATTTTCACCAACCACATGACATGAAATGCAGCTTTACTATTATTCAGCTGCATTTCCTTCTTTCTTTTGTGCTTCTCCCTCCCTCAGAACTTACACCAGACATGTATGCATTAATATATATATATATATATATTATTGAAGGAGAACACTAAATGAAATTAGTGAAAGGGATCTTCTAGTTAACAATATTTCCAATGATTTGGTTGTTGATAGAGTACAATGGCATCATACAATCTATATAACCATCCCACCATGTGGGATAAGGCTTGTTGTTGTTGTTGTATATATTTGTGTGTGTATGTGTACCATGAACCCACATTCATGTATCAATGATCAATATTTTTCCTCTTATTTTGGTGACAAGACATTAATTTCGTCCTTTCCCCAGATCATTTGAAAGTCAAAGAGCTGAAAGTTGACTCAAGTAGAGAGCTTGACTTAACTTCTGACAACGGAAATGTGGTTCCCATCACTTCAGTACAAAATCAAGGTATCCATCTTGATGTAGGTTCCTCTAAATTCAATGGGCAGATTAGTAGAGGGCATCTGGATCTTAATTGTGAGAATCCATCTGGCAAGCTAAGTGCCAATGGTCCTTCGGTGTCTGATTTCATTACCAGTGAAGAATTTGAAGCCCAAAATAGAAGAACCAAGCTCTCAGATATTGAAAATAAAGCTACTAATGATGACGAGTTACCATCTCCTGAGCTCAGTTTAAAGAGACTTAGTGGAGTAAAAGAGGCTGGAATTAGAATTCAGGACAAACGGATTGTTGCAAGATGTTCAGACCTTTCATCCTTCTCAAGGTCTGATCACTCTAAGTTATTGTTTGGTGTTCTTCTGATTTATTCTTGATGCCAATATCATTCCAGCAAGTCTTCTGCTGCAGGTACAATGAAAGCTCTAACACTAAGTCTCCCGCTGAGTGTGTTCGAACTGGAAGCAACTCTCCACACGACAATAGCTTAGAAGTTACAAAGAAAGATTTATCACATGAAATTCAATCTCATTCTAATGGCAACCCTCCCCACCGGAGCTCAAATATTGATATGGGTTCCACTTCTAATAATGCTTTTCCTAAAATTAAAGTTTCAAGTGAACCAGTAGTAGCATCAACAGCCAGATGTTTGTACCAGGTATCTGCTGTCCAGCCTATAAGCAGCGACCTGTGTACCTTTCAACAAGTTGCGTTGCATAATAACAAGGATATGGCTACTGTCACAATGCTAGCACCAAAAGGAGGCACACGGAAGGATTCTCCAGCTGAGGACTTTCCTTACCAATTTGAAAACTTTGACAGTATAGCTGACAAGCATTACCTACCTGACCAAGTTGATTCAACATTAAAGGAAATAGCTGCAGCTGCACCACATTATGGGTCATCTAATGTAGTGGAATTGCTGGTTGAATGTAATTCTGGAGATAACAGTACCAAGAGAAGTGCAATGGGCGGCAACAATGGAAGCAACGGACTAAATGGGAGCAACACTGCAGTTGATGACAGAGGGACAAACATAAAGGGTGACAATGGAATTGCAGAAAATAATGGAACTGATGATGCTAGTGGGAGTGGCAATAAGAGTGCTAACAAGGTAGATCAAAGCAAGACTTCCAAAAGAGAAGCGTCCTTAAGTAAGTTTCACCGTAAGAGAAAGGAGAGTTCCATCCATAAAAAGGTAACAAACTTTTGAGTTGTTATTCCTGGGCATCAGTTAGTGATACATGAGTAGTACCTTTTTTTTTTTTTTTAATACAGCACCTAATCCACACCATTTTCTTTTTCCGCTCATTCTTTGTTTCTGAGTTTTATTTTTATCCTATCATTCCATTTTCTTGGACTTGTGTGATTAATTTGAAAATTTGATGGCTTTACATGGCTTGGAACTACGATATTGATGGGTACTTAAGTAGGATGGGGAACCCTATCCCAAGAGCTAGTTGTTGAGGTGAGAAAACCAATTCATTTAAATACCCCATTGAGCATCCCGTATTACTCAATGTGAGATTTAGTATCTTATATTACAAGTCTCCATCAATTGGCCTCCCATGGAAGTCGACACCCCATGGCACTTAACTCAACCTCCTGCCTGTCAAAACCCTCCATGAGTAGCCCTCTCAGGAGTGGTCAACAATCAGGTTCAATAACAATTAACGGGCACCTAAGTAGGATGAGGAACCTTACCCCAAAAGCTAGCTATTGAGGTGGGAAAACCAGCTCACTTAAATATTTCATTGAGCATCCCATGTTACTCAATGTGGAACTTGGTATCCCATACTATCAAGTCTCCAAAAGATACCCACGCCCATGTTTGTACATGGGCATTTCTTTGCTTATAAGCCTTCATTTGAGAAGGGTTGTGGTCCAATTTTGGACTTATATATTACTTTTTCTGCATCTATGATTATGAATTCATTAATGGTTGGAATAACATACATAATGTTATCAGTAGTGGATGGTTATGATGCTTTTTTTTTTATGCCAACATTCAAACACTTGCCATACAAGTTCAAAGGAACAGACTAGCTATCTATGATGCGTCATTTTAATTGTTTCATTTTTCTGCCTGGTTCCTTGTAAGATGCCTTTTCATTTCATCCCTTTTTAACAACTTCTTATGCTTGAATGGCACCCCAAAAAAAAAAAAAACAGAAAAAAAAAACTCTTTGTACAGTAGAATAATCACACGTATCAAACGATAATGAGGACATTCAATGATGTGATATTTCCTTTAGCATCCTTCTTAATCTTCTCCCATTGTTTAGAAGAATTTTCCATCCATTTGTGTAGAAACTGATAAACCAGTGGCATAAAGCTGTAGCTTGTTATTGTTACATTCTTGTGTTCTTTCAAGTATGATAGTATTGGAGTTGTAGGAGCAAGCAAGCCAACAATTATGCTTGGGGTAACTTGAAAGTAATTAAAGAACACAAATGAGGACACAATGAATTGAATCTGCCATCTTTTTAATATGTTATAGATTTTTGAGTTTAGCTAGAACTGGAAAGTTATTGGGATGAAATCAAGACTCTAGCTGCAATAAGACTGCCATTTAACTAACCCTATATATTGGATGACATGATATGAAGTGACATATTTAATGTTTATTCCCTCAATAGTTGTTTACTCCCTCATCAAGATTCCTGCTCGCATTTTCATCTCATTCCATGACATGGAGATCAAAGATGAATGTGAAGTTCAGATGATACTTTGATTTGATTTCCTTGAATTGAGGATGAAACAGGCTGTCTTTAAATTATCATAATGTGTACCAACTGTGGTTGATGTGAGTGGTAAAGACCCTCATCCCTTAAAAAAGTGTTTGGGATTCAATTCATAGCTTTTATATATGAAACAAACCTAGTTGTTAGAGATATATCCTTTGCCCAGAGTATTCTGAAAGATTAATTTTTGCTGTAAGCGAAGGATATTCCTAAGGTCTCATTAGACCCGATGTCTGATGCTAAATGAAAAAGGCCAATACCTCGGGGAAGTAGGAGGAGATTTGAGACCCTGTGAGAACTTGACTAGGTATTCAAGTCGGCGGATTCTTATAACTTTGACCGAACATCTTTTATTTGTTTCCAATCTTAGTACTTTAAATAACATATATTCAAAGTAAGGTTTGTTTGTCTTTGTATGACTGATGTGCTTGATGTATTTGTTAAATCCTGAATTTCTCTTTGCAATTAGGGAATATCATCCATGATAAATGCTTATGAGTAGGACATGCTAGTTTTGGGAAGGGATGTTGATACCCTGTTCACTGTGAGTGGAGCAGACTTCTGCTCTACATGTGTGATCAAATTTACCCAAAAGACGAGTGTGTCTCGTGGAACACCGGTGCACCTTTGATGCTTAAAGTCAAACTCTATATGGTTGGAATTGCAGGTCCAACATCGAAGTAGAAAGAAACCAGCTGAACAACAGCCTCGCTTTTGTGGACAATTTGTTCACAAGTCCACATACGAAAATGCACCAGAGGCAGAAGACGATTGATAGATGGCATTTGTCCGAGTGGCATAATGATAAGGACATACGGTGAAAATGGTCAAGAAGCCTTTGTGTAAAATGTGAGCATTCGTGCCTTTCACCCCTTGTGTTATTGTAAAATAGATTACTGTCACTCCAGTTTTTTTATTCGGTATCTGCGGTTCAATTTACGGCAAGGAGTCTTTTTATGGACATTGTTATGCTGACTGGACACTTTGATAACTCCCTTATAGCGACTTCAAAATTGCTAATAATCTTTCTCATTTACACTGCTGAATGAAAATGTGAATAGTTCATTCTTTGACCTTGTTACTCAAACTTAAGAGAGCTTGCATCCCGTCTCCATGGAACCTGCTTGCATATAATGGTTTCATTCTTTTACCAGTAAATCTGTTTCCAAGATGACCTAAAAATAACCGGGCTAGAATTTATTTCTATTGAGATTGGAACATTCATTTGAATTTCATGTTTAGGGAGGCTAGCACTCCTGCTCATTTGTTGGCCACTCAAGTGCAGAAGAATTTTGTATGTCGTACTTCCTTTGATGAACCCCCACCTTACTGTATTAAGGTAGTGGATGATGAAAGGGGATTGTTTGACAGACTTGACTGGCTTGTAATCATTTTTTTGATTAAGGATCTATTTTTCATTGAAAAAATAAAAAATAAAAATTGATAGTGGTACAAAGTCAGAGTTCCAAGATTCCATGCTTGTCATTTTGAAGTCATAGATATTTCTCGTACGGGGTAAGTAACCGGAGATAAATTCCTTTTGCGTTCTTGTTATTGAATAATTTATAGAAACAAAAAGATGGGGATTGTTGGGGTGTATAATATGAGTTAAATGGGAATATATTCTTCTTTTTTTCCTTTTATCAATCAACCGCATATTTAGAAATCATGGTGGACTCCGACAAATACAAGTCAAGCTAGATAAGATAAGACCACAAGGTTGACAAAGCTATGCCAATAAGTATTTAACATAGTTTCATACATAGAGCTCAAACTCAAGACAAGTAGAGTGGCACGGCTTTCCACCAGCTGAGCTCTGCACTCATTGGTCGCGATCTCACTTGTCTTTTTAATTTGATGAAACACCATCCCGCTTGGTGATTGGAAGTTTAATTCAGCAAGTAGTCTGTCAATTTTCTTTTTACATTCACGGGCTATATTTTCCCACACCAGTATGAACACGAGTTTGCTTTAGAGCCAACTGATGTCTGCATCTGAGAATGAGAATATGTTCATGACTGCAAATGAGTCTAGCTCATTCTTTATCCAGAACATGAGCTGTTACGGACTGAATTGACACATTAAATCATGCTTCAATGATTAAAAACACATTCTCATCTCTAGAAAATAAACAGAGATGTGAAGAGGTAGAAAACTTCTAGCACATTGGAAAAGAAATACAAGGACAACCAAATCCCTTGAACACAGCGTTTAGTTGAGTTCCAAATTGCTGGTCATCTTGTCGTTGGAATTCAACCAATATTGAAAGTGTATGCCGTAAGTAATGAATATTCTATTGTCAAAATTGAGTCCATTTCTGGACTTCCTTAGGCCGATTGCATTTTTTACAAATCATAACGCACGACGCCGAATTAGTCGTAGCCCTTTTAAACTAACTTTGCCATGAAGTTAATTCTATTAGAATATGTTGAGCTTGAGTATCTTTAGCAAGAAGTCGAAAATAAACTGAAAGGGAAATATTTTCCTGGGAAAGATGTAATTTAAATTCATAGTGAAGTTCCGTGGAAACTATAGACATTAGCCCTCGGACATTTGCAGCCTGGACATCCATCAATAAACAATGACGAGTCAGGATAACGATGCTTGTGGGCCAATTGGACAGATAAAGTTGGTACTAGATTTATGCCTTCCTCAATTTTGAAAACAGAAACATTTTTATTTCAAAAAAAAAAAATTCGTTATGTTGAAGTATTGAACCCTTTCCTCCCCTACCGTTGCTATTTGAACTAACGTCAATTATAAGTAGTTATTTTTTAAGGTTAAATGAGTAAAGATAGGAGATTTTGTTATCTTGCTGGGCACACCATTCAATTAGGAGGGGAACACAACCATGCAGAATATTTGTCTGATTTCTCTTTCAGTTTTTCCTCCAATTTATTTATGTCTATTTTTGTCATTATCAAATTTTGGGATTTTTTTTGGATAATAAATGTTGTAATTTTATTTTGCCTTTAAATTAATAAAACAAAATTCTCTAAGCAAACAAGCTATATAGTACGTAAATCTAGTGATAAGCGTTTGTAATTGGAAAGATTGGATGTTTAGAGTTTCAAATATGACTCTGAGGTTAAATTTTGTGAAATAAGAAAAAAAAATCTCTTTTTATTTAACATTCGACATTCATTTTTTGATTGGAAATCATGGAGAGCGACGTGAGAGCCAGGTGATTCTGTAAAATGGGCTGGGGATTGCTTATCCAACTAGAAAATGGGGACGTACAACTACCAGTCATACCTGCCACGTGTCAATCTTCCACGCGTGTCCCACCTAACGTTCCGAAGCCTCACCTAATCTTCAAACCCCACCCCACAACAAACCCTAATTTCATTTAGTCCCCTGTATGTATCTTCACTGTCCTCTTGTATTTTACATACTACAGTGTTTTTTTTTTCCTGAAAAATAATTTTAGCATATTATGCTCTAAATCGGATATCTTAGATCTTTGACTCAAATTAATTTAGTCGCTAGCTTGTGGACATTTCCTTGAAAGGCACATATCTTTCACTTGGATTTAATTGGTGTTGTATACAATGCCTTGAACTTTTGGCATATAATTAGCGATCCTGCCTGTTCATGAAGTACATCAATTTAACAGTCCTTATAGCATCCTAGTTTTTTGGGTTAAAAAAAAACCACAGCGTTCTAGTTTTGAATTTCGTTTTAATTGAATCAAAGTTGGATTGCAAAAGGATGTAGTATTTTTGTGTTGATGTTATGGCTAAAATTAAATAAGACGGCCAAAATTGTTGAAAGCCAAAACAAAGGTAAATAAATAGTCATCAGATACAAAAGTTTAATATATCAACACTCTATAATGTGTTAAATGTTAATATGTAATTAAAACGTAAAAATTTGACAACGACTGATCAAGTGGCACGAACAACGCTTTCATTTTATTTAAGAATCAATTAAACAGTTCAACAACAACATGCAGTAATAACGCTATACAATACTTCCTCTATCCTAAATTATAAAGTATTTTCTTTAAAAAAATTCATTTTAAAATATAAGATATTTTGAATAGATTAAGATTTCATTAAATACATCATTTTTAATATCATCTTTTCTCTCTCTATAATTAATTTTCATTCATTATCTTTCAATAAATTAAATGATAGATATTTTTAAATGTTTATATTTTTTTTAGAAAGATAATATTGTTAAATATATTTAATAAAATTTATTAATATATAAAATTTTATCTTAAAATGTCTTATAATTTGAGTGAAGGGAGTACTATACAACAACAACAACAACAATAATAATTAGTAAAGTAATAACTGCAAATTAATTAATAAAATATTTGTAAAAAAGCTTATAAATATTAGTTTAATTTGTAAAGATTTGATATAAATAATAACACCATTAATATAATAAATAATAATAACCTTGTTAATAGGTGATTCATAAATAATTTGATAAGTGTTGTTTGAATTTGTAGATACACTCCTGCTGTAGTAAGCCTCGAATTCAATACAGGTAAACTTTTACTTAAAATACAAATGCCAAAGAAGGAGAAGCTGTCGTGACTGATGAGAAATTGCAACTCGAATTGCAGTTGCAGGTCTTAAATTGTATGCCTGCGTGGAGCCCGACAACCATGCAGAACTCAGACTCTTCACCGCGTTTGGACATCGCTATCATGTTTTGGAAGGCATGTACCCCACGCTTCTTTGATTCCAATTAACGTATAGTTTTTGATAAAATTTAAACCTAATTGTGCTTTTTAATATAGCCATGTGATGCCTCATGATATTTTTTATTAGTTAATTCATATCAAATCATAGAAACAATTCTCCTTAAATGATTTTTTTCGAATTCTAGTTCTGAAGGGGTTGAGATCATCGCATTTAACGTTGACACGTAATTATCTTTGAAGTCACAAGTTATGATCAAATACAATGTAGCCTAGAGGCTGGATTGATCTGCTTTTTCAGATATCTATTACTGTTTAAGGTCCAAAAAAAAAAACATCTATTACTGGCATGTGCGTTTAAAAAATGTATCTTGCAAGTGGGGTCGCTCCGCATATCCGCATATCTCAGTCCTTAGATCTTTTTTTGTTCTTCTTTCTAGGGATGCAGGATCCAATTTTTGTCATGAAAGAGGATGGCCTTATAATAAGAAATCAAATTAACCCAGGGCTTACGGCAGTGATAATAAATAATAATCATAAAAACTTGCGTGACCTAATAAAAAACTTTTTTCTTACTTATAGGAATGAGGCGATAAAAATTTTAAATTTTAATAGTAATAATAATTGTAAATTTTCCCGTGATTCGAGAAATAATACTCTTTTTGTTTCATATATATATATATATATAATATTTTTAATTGACTCACTCAAACTAATAAAAATTAATTATTTAATTAAAAGTAAAGTAACATTTTAATTTTAATTTTAATTATTATACATAAAAAATAACTATTTTTTAAGTAAATTAATGAGAGTATTTATTTGTTTCTCTTTTTAATATAATAGGGATATAATTGTTTATTCATTAAAAAAATGCTAATAACATTTTATATTTAGGAATAAAAAAAATTTAAAAATTTTTTTATATATGAGAATGGAAAAAATAAGTGTTAAATTTAAATTTTCTAACATTTTTCTCTTACCATGATAGCCAAAAGACAAGATGGAAATTTGGCAAAAAAAGAAAAACGAGATGCCAATAGATTTAAAACTTGAAATACATCTAAATTTAAGGATGATATTCATAAGGAACGTTGTAATTAAAGGAAGATTGATTCGCAATTGTCTAAAACTACAAAATACTAATTTTTTTCGGTGAAAAGACTTGATGATGATATTTTATCTTCCTGTTATTTTAAATACTTAAGCAGTAATTCTAATTCCTGAGAAAAACAATTGAAGATATTAACACTAATTTATACAGTAATGTTAATCTAGTCTATTGTTTTTTTAAGTAAGATGTAGATACTTAATCTTATATATTTAATATATTTTTATTTAATTAAATTAAAATAAATGAATTTTAACTTGTTAATAATATTAATAACAAAAATTTATTATAGAATAAATAATTTAAAAATAGTGTGCATGTTTTGATTTCATGCAAACAAACACCTGAAACATATAAAGTTGAGTATATAAATTTTTCTCTTAAAAAAATTATCACTTGCCTTTAATAAAATTACTTTTAATAAAAGATACACATGAACAACAACAAAAATTGTCATAATCAGAATTGGGTTTAGCGAAGTGAATTGATATCTCACAACATGAAAATTAATGTTTGAATTCTCATTATAAGAGTTATAAAATTACTTTTTCAATGCATCTGTATTTAAATTATTAAATTTTATATTCACAATAAAACCATCAACGTCGTTAACTTTTAACCATCGTATATACACTAAAAAAAAAATTTACGAACACTTTTTGCTTTAGATTATTAGATTTTTTTATTGACATTTTTCTTTTTATATTTTAACCTTTTTAAGCTATTGAATACTAACTCTCTCTCTCTTTTTCGAATCATTGAATAATAACTCAGCCGGTAATTTTTTCTATACATACAAAAAGTCAACGAAATAACGCTTTTACCCTGCCTTACCGCGGGTTGTGTAGAGTTGTAGTGAGAACAAATTAGTCTTTTCATATGACCAAGCATAGCAGCACGTACTCTGCATTAATCGCCCATAAAGTTAGACAGCGCCATCTGTAGCGTCAGCTTTTAACAAATGGCTCAGAAACGGCTATGCGGCGACAGACGTCAGATTCTTACCCAATCGGATTCGAAGTGTCTTCCACGCGCAGCCTCTGCAAGTGGAAAGTCCCCCACCCCGCGATGTCATAGTATCATATCGGAGGGTCAAAGTTTTCGGAGGAAAAAGTTAGTTGGGCCTCCGCCTCCCGTTTTGGGGGTTGGCTTCCACTCTCCAGCTGCTAACCACCAATCCCAAATTTCACATTCCCAATCCCATCATTAATTAATGATCAAATTTTATTTTTAAAAAGATCAATAATTTCTTGTACTGAACAATATTTAACAGGTGGCAATTTTCGTATTATTTCAACAACAGTTCGGAGCTACAGAGACCCAGAATAGTATAAACCCCTTTCCCTCTCTCTGACCGCGCTTGTTTTCGTATAAGGAAGCCTCTGGATTCTAAGAATTTTAGAACACGAAAGAAGACAAGAACCCTAGTGATAGTGTATTTTGTGCTGCGTAAGTTGTTTCCTTCGCAAGGCTCTAACTAATTCTTGTGCTCATGAGGCGTTCCTGTTCTTATTAAAATGTTTTCTTTATTTCGATTATTAGTTTTCTTTATAAAACTCGGGGTTTTGAAATGCAGATGGTTGAGCGCAATTTTTTTTTTCGCCTTCCGGTGGCTTCTTGACTTTCTGGTTAGTATCACTTCCTTCCTTATTTCATCTTCCATTCCAACATTTTTTTCTTTAATTGGAAGAAACCAGCGGTTTGAAAAAGGCAGAAACTAGAAGGAAAACAGAATATTACTATTTCAGTGTTAGCTTTTTATGTACCTGCTTGGTGCATACTTCTCTGGCTTTCCTGGATTCTGCATAGTTCATGTCCACTGGCTCAAGTTCTGGGGTGTAAAAGAGAGGATTGTATAAGTAGATTAGTTCTTTAGACTATTGTGATTCCCCACCCCCCCCCCCCGGCAAAGTTCCATTTTGGACAGTCATTATAGGCTGCTGGTTTTTTCTGCTGTGCACTATCCCAATCAAATAAATGCCCTGGAGGGACAAAGCTTCTTTGTTTGTATTGGGATAGTGCAGAGCAGAAAAAATTAGCAGCTATACAATCAAGTAAATGCCCTGGAGGGACAAAGCTTCTTTGCTTGTTTTAATAGAATGTGCTTTTTGTTATAATATTCACTGGCATTACACAGATAATGCGACAAGTCACTTAGAAGAGGTAATTCCCTGATGAAACCAGGAAACTTTTTTCCATGTGGGAGCTGAGGTTTGGTTCTTTTTGATGACATTTCGAGGACATGCGGTCTTTACATGGTTCCATATTCAGGATTATGAACTGAAATGTCCAAAGTATGCCCCTTTGTAAGTTAGAGGCCTACATAATGTTGATCGTTTCTCCAATCATGGGAGTACAGTATAAGCTTGATTGCGGAGAGGACAACTGATAAATTTCATGTTTTCATTTATGCAAATATTCAACTCCAGTTGTCAACAATGTTCCCAACTTGAAATTTGAGGATGCCGCTATAAAGGTTTAGATGGTTTGATCATTCCTTAGACCCTTCAAATCTTCCCTCTAGTGTGTGGACGTGGATTGAGAATTCCTCATCTGAGAGTCGTGGTGCTTGTAAATAGCTCTTGGTTTGCACTTACTAGGGATAGTATGTTCTACATTATTAATTATCAGACTAGATTTGAGTTCATGTTTCTGTTTTCACTGACTTTCCGCTCAGCCAATGTAAAAGATATCCAAGAAGTTGAAAATTCCCAGTTTGATGACCCAAATTGAAAGCAAATAACTTGCTCTTCCGTTCCTTCCTTCAGAGCAACAAAAGCTCAAGAGGAATAAAACTTTTCATGTCTTGTATACTTTTTGTCTACGACCAAAAAGCTATGCCTATTTATGTTGTTTGTGAATGTAAATGCAAAATTGTGGAACATTATTGCTGGTTATAGGTTGGTTCAGTTGCAGCAAAAATAAGGTGGTCGTAGTGTTATGATTTTTATCCTCAAACATACAACAACAACAACAACAACAACAACAACAACAACACAGGTGGGGTTGGCTACATGGATTGCAAGACGTCATTGTGCTTATCATTTATCAAGTTTTTAGGAATATTATTAATTAAGAGATCGCATTCAATAACTTCTAAGAGTGTTCTCTTAGGCCTTCCTCTACCCTTCTTAATCGGACTCTTAAAGTTATATGTTCCACTCTTCTCACTGGTGCCTCCCTTGGTCTTCTTTGTACTTTATCCTCAAACATACTAACTGCAAAATTATATTTCAGTGCGGTTTTCTATCTTTAATCAGCTCTGTAGCATAGGTCATACTTTTAAGTGAAAATTTGATTGGAAATCGCAATCAAATCTTTTGCTTTCTTACCTTCATAATGTTATCTAATTATTATCCTACAGTTTTGGCGGTGAAGAGATTTATTTTCACCTTGGGTCAGTTGGAGTCAAATTGTCATCAGAAGTTTTCTGCTCAATTTCAGCGTCCATAACCAGGAGTTTTGGATTTAAAAAAGGATCAACCTTTGAAGAAAAATATATAGTAATTGAGGATGGATGTTGAGGAAGCAGAAAGGGTGGTTGTTGCCAAACCAGTAGCTTCAAGGCCTACTTGCCCCCCTTTTAGATCCTTCTCCGAGCTACTTGCAGGTGCCATCAATGCCTCTCCATCTATTGAATCTTCTCAAGCCACAGTTTCAGCCATTAGACCAAAGACTGTGAGGTTCAAGCCAGCCGTGAATCGCCCACCTCCTGCTGGGTTTATTTCTTCTGAGGTAAACTTTCAGTTCACTTGTCTGAAATACAAACTTGCTTATGTCTGGACTTCCTGAATCTTGATTTCTCATATGTGGTAGTTTTGCCACTTTTAGGCTAACCCATCTTACAAAAATCATAGACCAGACACTAATCAAACAGTTGTTTACAAGCCTACGGCTAAGCTTGTCTCCAAGGCCACTGTTTCTCTTTTGGCAAATATGGTCAGTATTAAATGTATTTCTTCATAAGACTATGTTGCTCATGTGAGATTGTGTTGATGAGTTCTTTTTTTCATTCACTTAAGGGAAACTATAGTACCAGTCATAGCCAGCAGTTTCAACTTCCCAATCCGGAGAAACTGAGGACAAATTTGAGCTCAATTCATCACCAGAATAATAACACCCCAAGCGCTGAATCAAATCAAGCAATTGTATGTTACAAGATGGTACAACAGAGCCCAGAGGAGGACCAGAAAACTTCACCATCTACTAGTAATTGTGGTGATAGACCTTGTTATGATGGGTATAACTGGAGGAAATATGGCCAGAAGCAAGTGAAAGGAAGCGAGTATCCAAGGAGTTATTACAAATGCACGCATCCTAATTGCCCAGTGAAGAAGAAGGTTGAAAGATCATTTGATGGGCAGATTGCAGAAATTGTGTATAAAGGGGAGCACAACCATTCAAAGCCCCAGCCTCCTAAGCGCAACTCATTAGGGACACAAGGATCAGGAATCGTGCCTGATGGATTGGGTGAAGATACTAATTGTAATAACCATTTATGGGTTAATCCTAGCGGTGAGAGGAATGAAAATAGAATAGAGAACCAGAGTGACGCTGGTTATCTTGTCAAAGTTGGAGGGAGCCCTGAGAATTCACATGTTCAAAGTGAGGAATGTGAGGAAGGAAGCAAGGGAAATGAAGTGGAGGTAGATGAACCCAAAAGTAAAAGAAGGTAAGAGGCCAGTTCAATGAGAATCAGCTTATTTCCATTGTAGTTAATTGAAATACCAGACAACTCCGTTGATGCATGTCATCAGGTTTTTCAATAAACACAGTTGATCTTTCCATTCAGGAAAAACGAGAATCAATCCCATGAAGTAGTAGCAGTAGCAGAGGAAGGTTTAGTGGAGCCTCAAGTGGTGGTTCAGAGTTCTACAGATTCTGATGTGCTTGGAGACGGCTTTCGCTGGAGGAAATATGGACAGAAGGTTGTGAAGGGCAATCCATATCCCAGGTTCATACTTGCATTCTCGTTCACTTGATTATGTTTTCCAGCATCAGTTTTTAGCTTACAATGAGTTTTCATGACAACTCAAATTCGTATTGCAGAAGTTATTATAGATGCACTAACATAAAGTGCAGCGCCCGGAAACATGTGGAAAGATCAATAGATGACCCAAAAGCATTTATCACTACTTACGAGGGGAAACACAACCATGAGATGCCACGCAAAGCTATAGGTGCTGTGGCTTCTGAGAAAGTCAAGCAATGATTAACTCATCGACAGGGAAACAACAGTAGAATCCACTATTTAGTCTTCAAGTTCAGAAAACAACAATGAAAATATGAAATGGCATTTGTATTATGGAGCCAATGAATGACCTTATAAGAGCTTGTTCTGATATCAGTGTCAGTACATTCTTTCCTTTCTTGCCTAAATAATAATATATCTTATTAGATTTGGTCCAGGACCTGATTTATTTTCTTTTATTGTTGGAGTTTTATGAGGCATGGCCTGTACCCTATTGCCTGAATATTCTTATCAGTAAGAATTAGCTTATTATTTGGGAATAATGGGTGAACTCGTTTTGCTCATTTGGTTGAACTAAAGAGCAATGAACAAGCTTTAAAGGCTTCGTATCCCAATAACTCCAGTTCTTGGGGCGGAAAAAAACTTATATACTTAATCTTATATGTTTAAGATGAGTGTTTTTAATTAAATCATGACATATGTAACATTTATTGATTATTTATTTTATGATAAATTTTTATTATTAATATTATTAACACGTTAAAATCTATTTGTTTTGATTTAATTGAATAAAAATACCTTAAATATATAAGGTTAAGTATTCATTTTATCAATGATCAATGAAGTGGGGATTTGGACAAGTATTTGTTATTTGTTTTGGATATGTTACTGACAATATCAATCACATTTTAGTCGAGGATCGAAATGTTGTCTTGGATCATGTTTATAGGAAAAATAATGAATGTGTTAATTTAAAATCTCAATAATTTTGCATTTCACTGGCCCATGTAAGAGGTTAATTAAAGGAGTCTAATTATATGGTTACCTACTTAGCTTCATATTTCCATGAATAGGTTATGGGCGAAAGAAAAGAATACATATATCCGTACCGATTGTGTTCCAAGAACAAGCTTGCTTTGTTTGATTGATGTAGTAATTTTTTTTTTTTAAATATAGATTTGATTGATATAATATGATAATCTATACACAGCACTTTGTTAGAGGCAGACTTTTCAACGAGCCACAGTAGAAAGCCATCTTCGGGAGACCCGGCCAACCATAACCCTGACGGCTGAGGCCCCAATGACCTATTATCTACTATTTAAGCTCTTTTTTCGTTAGCTTATTTATATCTATGCTGCGTGTTTACATATTACCCCCTTCATTTATAAATATAAAATATTTTTTAAAAAATTAAATATTAAAAAATATAAAATATTTTTAATATTTTAAGGTGTAATCATTATCTTTTTTTAAAAGTATTCTGTTAATAATAATTTTATATTTATTGTAGGGTGTTAATAAAAATAAATATAAAAAATAAAATTAATTTAAAAATAAATAACTATTTTATTAAAAAATAAAATTTAATTAAAAATGACTTTGGAGTATTATTTAGTAAAACAAAATTTTTTTTTGTACATTTGTATATTGCGCTGTACTGACATGGTATCAACAGCTGCTTATCTTAAGGTCGAGATGCTTACATTAAAAGTTTTGTTTCTTAATGATAGCCAGCTGTCCGCTGATTGTTTCTGGAAGCTAGTTATTGCGTCTATAAGCATTTAAATCTTGCCACGGGAGATATTGCATGATACTATATGTTAGAGACAGACAGATATTAATGAATTTAAGGTTTACGATCAAACAACGTAACATGTGACGCGGCATCCGTGTTCGTATCATGATTTCGGATCTCTGACTTTATATCTTCATATCCAATGTTCAAGCCAAGGACTTATGCGGAAATTTTGAGAATATCAAATATACATATTCAAATATATAGAACATAAGTTGCACTTATTTGAAAAAAAAATCATGTATATAGTAGAAGACATATGGAGTATCATTGCATCCAACATTTAAACCATGCATCCAAATTTCAATTTTCAAGATATGCATAATTCATTCTAATATGCACCTTATATTTGAATATACATTTCACATATTTTAATTTTTTTATTTTTTATGAAAATACTAAAAAATATTTAAAAAAACGTAAATGAATATTTTAAAAATTTTCTCATTTTTATATATATATATATATATATATGAATATTTTAAATCTCAAATGGATATTTTCAAAATTCTCATTTTTAATGCAAATAGATATTGAAAAATGTTCTTATTTTTCATGAAAACATATATAAATATTCTAAAAATACAAATAAATATTTTAAAAATTTTCTCATTTTTTCATGAAAACATATATGAATATTTTAAATTTTTACATTTCCAATACATATCCTTAAATTCAAGCTGTGAAATAAAATCTTTCAAATCCAACAAGTAAGTGAAAAAATTGAATTGAACTTTATTTCATTAAAATATTAAAATTACAATCACTTGGAACTGTTTTAACAATCAATAGTTACAATTCAAACTACAGTCTATAGACAATCACACTATAGTTGCAATGTATAAATGGTCCCTCTTTTATAATTAGACAAGTCAATTGACATCACAATTGATGAATAACACAACCCAAAATAATAATCCCTATCAACATAGTTTTTGAGAGCCTAAATAGAAATGAATTTCCTCTAAAATTATCATTGTTGTTACATTTAACTTTTCAACAACCATCCTAAGTAAAAGAGTTTTTGACTTCTTTGGCTTCATTGCTTCCAGACTTCCAAGCACCCCAATTAGTGTTTGAGTTTTCTCCATCAGCCAATCCACTTTTTTAAACATTTCCTTGACTTCATCTCACTGTTGGACTTTTATTTGATGTTTTATCCATATTCTAAGAAAATTGACCGCTTTGCTCTCCAATATTCTTGTCATCATCCTTGCCTCTTGATTCTCTCAAATCTACAATGCTTCTATCTTCTCCAAACCCAATCCCATGGAAACCACCATGAATATGCAAATAAATAAGAGTAACTAGTGAATATAACCTTGCCTTTTCTCAATATAAGATATATGCGCCCACTATGATAATCTTACCAAGCCACCCCACAACTCAAAAAATACAACATGACTATAAAAAGGTAAAAATGTAACATCTTATAATAGATAACATGCCTTTATATAGGCTCAATCAAACAAAATTTCACAAGGACAAGCAACTTTAACATAAAGACAAAGCAATATAAACTTAAGGTTCAAAGAGTTCTTGTTAGTTAAACTCAATCAAATCTAAAACTAGGAGCAGTAACACCTCTAGTGAAATTGCTGTATCACTTTGAGCATTCAAGACAAAATCTCTGTAATTTTTTATGGTTCTGAATTCTTAAAAAACATGTCTTTGCTAGCTTATCTCATGCTCTCGTGTCACTACATACTACCTATTATTGATATTGATGTTGTATTGGGTGGAGGAAGGCAAGGGATCACCATTGATATAAGCATGATAAAGCCTTCTTAAAAACATTTTAATTATTTTCATTCATCAAATGAGTAGTTAGTTGTACAGAGGTAGAAGGAATAAAGGAAAAAAAATAACACGCAAGTTTAGCTCTAAAACATAATTACAAGGCAACAAAATATGGGCATTAAATGCCCTAACATTTAGAAATTGAAGAAACTAATACAATCCATGCATAAAATGCTAGAGAAAATGTCAAGGCAGCTATAATGAAAGATTATGGACTTGAGGTTCTTTATTGGTTAAAAATCTATATTGTATTCCCCAACACTTTCCAGTAACATGAATCACATAATTAATTAATGCAAATTTAAACAAAACAAGGCAAACTTGCATAGATGGCCAAACACTTGTGTGTTTACAAAAACAATAGGAGAAATGTTTGTCACATTACAAAAATCAGATTTCTCTAGTCATCAATAAGTATGGTAAGAGAAAGGAAACTTATAGAAGTCTTGTATTACTCGATAAAAAACAACTTAAGTGGTACAACCTGCAACTTTTGGTGATTGAAGTGGCGTGATTTGAACGTTTAACAATTAGATTTGAATGTTCAGTGATTGAGCGACACAATTTAGAATAGACCAGCTTCAAATGAAGAAGCAGTGGCAAATGAAATTTAATTACTCAATTTGCATGAATAATACTAAAATCACATTAGCGACAGTGGTGGAGTGATTCACACATCAAAACAACACTCATGGACACAGTGTAAAGCCACCTTTACTAATATAACACATAACCATAATCTCCTAGGTAATCATTAGACTAACTCAAATGAGTTGTCTAATCATTGTTAACCATTTTTAACTTATTTTCCAAATTCGGATGTATTTATTTTCAAAATTAAGATACCAAGTTTTCATAATTTTAAAATACTTAAATTTAATTCCAATCAATTCAAATCATATTAGAAACAAGTATAGAGGCATAAGATATATTTGGTGGTCAAAACATTAAAAACTAATAAAAGACTTCAAGTGGAACTACACAGAGGGATGTGTTGCAATGCATGCACATGTGTCAAGGCTTGTCCCTCATTGCAAAATTTGATAGCGGTTGTGTTGTCATAATAATGACATAGGGACAAACTTTCATCACACCCTATTTCTCCATCTGATATTCGACTTAGGTGTTTTAGGTGTCTACAGAAAACTTTTTTCATACTCTAGCCAACGGGGTTCTACTTCTAAAATATGTCACACAAAGGAGTTTAATACCCAAACCTATTTTCACATTTTTCACAATATAAAGAGTGTCTAAAACCCAATATTATACCAAAAGCTACAACCAACACTTAAAATACACTCAATAGACTTAGGATTGTCTATGTAACACACCATATAAACAATATGATACTTAACTTCCAATTTTAACTCTCAACCCCTTAGTTTCTAAAACAAAAGGAGGAGATCTAGAATTTGCGTTTAACTAATATTCATGCACAATGGGCATTATAAATCATCCATATACTTATGCTAGTATTTTAGCTCTACATAAATCAACACATGACATATGTATAAACTCAAGGCCCAAAATACAACATTCTTAATCATGCATCATAATAGTGCAAGTATAGATTCAAATATGTCTTTAGTTGGCAATGTCATAAAGTTACACATAAATCAAAACGAATTAGGAGGAATTAGAATAGGAATAATCAATTCCTAAACCTTTGGAGTGTTTTCCTTTTCAACACCCAAGCTAGAGCATATAAAATATTAAGAGAAAGGAGTGAGTACAATTACTTAGTAGCTAAGGTATGTCTATCCTATGTAATTGTATATTAATTGATATCTAGCATATTTAATGAATGCATGAACATAATATCATGTTGTAAACATGAG